GTTTGTGTCGTTGTTTAACAATTTTGTAGAAGTTATAATTTTTTTTGTCACTCAATTTCAGTTGAGAGTGTTCCATCTGGAGAGGCCAGACTTAGGGTTGAAGGAAATTGCACAAGAGTACAAGCTGAACTGGGATTCTTCTATCACTGAAGCGGGCAGTAGCATATTGAATTTGGGATTCTTCTAACAATCAGGCACTTTACATCCAAATCATTGGCTCAACAGCTTTAGCCCAACTTATCAGGTTTCTAGATCATGCTTGACAAGGGTTTTGAAATGTAATTATAGGCATAGTACAATTTCTCTCTACTTCCATTTGGATAAGTGTAACTTTGACAATGAATCTATCGATCCTTGTAATACATGTGGAGTTATTTTTTGAATGAAAATTCTTTATTATGTGTTATCTATATTAATTGGAAAGAAGAAAATAGTTTTACTTATCATGAAGCTTCAATTTACAAATGAACTAGGTGAATTGGAAAATAATAGTAAAACATTGATATTTAGTATGACAACTTGCAAAGACTGTTGTTAAAAATGTAACAACAACGTGCATACGAATGTTGTCAATGATGTGTTCAACAACGAGCAAAACACATTATTGCACACTTCTTTCACAACATGTGTGCGTTGCGTTCAATGGTGTTAACAACGAGCATTGATATCAATGACGACATGCAAAGTGTGTTGTCGAAAGTCCTGGACCTTTTAACGACATCGACTTCAACAACGTGTGTCGCGTGTTGTTAATATCATTCAACAACGCACAATGCATGTTGTTAAATGACTTTTTTCTTGTAGTTAAGCATACAAGTTCACTTGGCCCTGGACACAGATAGGTTCAATTTGGTAAAGAGCTCAACCTGTTAATCCTTAAAAGTATATGAAGTTAGTAGCAAGGTCAAAAATATCAATGGTATCGGAAATATCGGTAGTCCAAAAACACGGAAATTTTGATGGAAATATCGGGATATTATCGATACCGATAAAAATTGAATAAAAACCACAAAAATTGTAAGAAAAACGTGGAAATTTTTATTAAAACTTTGGTAGATGTTTATTTAGTCAATTATCTATTAGTTTATCACAAAAAATTGGAAGGAAATACCTTGCATGATGAGTTTAACTGATTTAAGTTGATTATATATAGCGAGCTGACAAACACTGTGAGTGTAGAAAATATGTAGTAATTAATGAAAAAAGATTAAACACACCATAATCATTTATATATAATGATTTACTACAATATTTTAGATTTTATACATTGCATGATAATATACATGAGTGACTCAGTACCACATAGAATTCCTCTTTGCGTATTATCACAAAAACATAAACAACATGGTGGTTAAGGCGTTGGAGGAGTGAAATGGCAGGGGTTCGAATCCTCTTTGCGTGTGTGCTTTGTGTTTTTTTTTCTTTTTCCTTTTTTCCATTACATCGATATTTTCGATATTATAGCGATATTTTGACAAAATATTGCTGAAGTGTGAGCAAAATTATCGACATCGATATTTTTCAATATTATCGATATTTATTCAATATGTGTATGGATACATTCCGAAATATCCGAGACTCGAAAAAACGATAATATCCTCAATATTTCATCGATATTATTGATATTTTAGACTATGGTTAGTAGGAAATAGACATGGAAGATCAGTAGAGATGACTTCAGGTGATTTCAACAGTAAGGTTCAAAGATGTGTTCCTTGGAGTGCAAGGCTGATGGTATCTTAGGATGATTCCAAATGGATGTTGCCAAATCTTAGTATATTTTCAGTTGCAGCCCCCCTTCTAGATAGACTTGACGATGACCTTGAGTATTTGATTGTTCTCAAATTGATTTGAGTGAATCACATAAACACATGTTGATCTAATTTTAGACATTAACCACTCTCTTACTGCATGACAAAGATAATTATTGGCACTTGGCACTTCCAAACTTGTTTTACCTGATGTAAACATGGAAATTTTGCTAAAGTGATAAGATATCAAACTTATTCTAAAAAATTGCTTATTATTTTATTGTTGTGCCCTATCGATGAATTTTAGACATTAACCTGATGTAAACACATCTTATTGCATGACAAAATTTAATTATTGGCACTTGGCACTTCCAAACTTGTTTTACCTGATGTAAACATGGAAATTTTGCTAAAGTGATAAGATATGAAACTTATGCTAAAAAATTGCTTATTATTTTATTGTTGTGACCTGTCGATGAATTATTGGGGATTTTTAGGGTCATGCTAGGGAGACCAACTTGAGATACCAACTTGTGTACCAACTCTCTAATAGAGGTGGAGCCCACCAATACAATGGGTCCCACGCTCTATTAGAGAGTTGATACACAAGTTGGTATCCCTAGCATTTTCCATTTAACAAAGGCAAATCTGATGTGACATGGTGTTAGCAAACCTGTGTTGGGCTTGGCCTATCGTGTTCACCTTGCCTTCTTAGTTTACGTTAGGCTTAAAAAGGAAACGATCATATGGCTAATATGAAGGCCCACATGAAGGGTCCATATATGGCACCCTCATTATAGAATTTCACATAAATATTCAGTACTTATCAGATTAGGACTCTATGAATGAAATCAAGCAAAACACATTTCTTTGTAAATGGCCTTTCTTTTGACTTCTTCAACCGGAAAATACCAACTCAGTGCCGTTTAGCATTGCTTATTTGGAGCCATAAATGATTATTTTGACATTTTTGAAATCCCAACTCGTTTGGTAAAAGGTTTAAAAATCACTTTTGTGAAATAATTGATCCAAATGAACTGGAGACAAATGAAAAGCACAATGAATCGGGAAAATTAAAAAATTTTCTTATGACCACGGTTGAAAATTATAATTCCCTCAAAATTTGAGAATTCACTTGGCTTTAGTCTGTATAGCTGAAGAAAAATGAATAAATTACAAGAATTGGTTGGACATAAGAAAGTTCAATAATTGAAGCAAGAACCTCTTTCACGTTTCTAAACATCTGAGAGTTGAACCTCAGATTTTGGTTTTTCATCCTCCTCATCCCAGTTGGTGGTCTTGTAGTAGGTGGCATATAAGATGAGCTGCACCAACCCAGAAATTAATCCCAAACCATTGGGAACCTACCAAAAGTTTTCAAAGAAAATGGTTATTCACTCTTCTTTTTGAAAATAAAAATAATTAAATAAACGTGTACGTACTTGAAACAACAAAAATGTATAGAGAATTACCAAAATGTAGGGATCAAATTTGATGAGTGCATAGATGAGCCAGACAATTCCATTACAGAAGTTAGCAAGAGAGAGGGTAAACGGCATATATTTCACACTTTTTGTCTTGATGACCATTTTCTGCCACCCAAAAAGTAAGATATATAAATCCGTGGTGAATGATTTTCAACCCTTAGATGATGATTCATCCCAAAGTTAAAAATGTGAGTCAAATTATGTGCTTTTTTGTGTGTCCATCGATTCCGACCAAAAAATATTTAAGACATGCAATATCTATGCAACATAATAATATATGGAAATGACTTATTTCTACATACCACGATTGTCAAGGGTGAGGCATACATAATGATGTTGCAGACAATGCACAAGATGCCAATTATCATAGACCGGCCTTTAGTGGTATGGAAAAAGTGCAGGGTGATGAAAACCACAACAGCAAAGAAGATAACTTCAACCAGAAGAGCAATAAGGATCCTTCGCTGCAAAGGAAATAAGGATATATTGTAGTTTTAATAAGGTATTAGCATTCCATAGCTCATGATATTTCACTTCTTAGTAGTATTACTTACGCGTTTTGCGTTAGAAGAGTATGTTAAGAAGATGGCAATGTAGATGAGTTCGATAACGAATCCACAGCCGTTGATTGTAATGACAAGAACGCTATCAGGATGGACAAAGGGCATGCCATAGAAACACCACATAGCACAGTTGAGCAATGTTGCTACATAAGGATCCGCCTTGAATTCTCCTACTGATTTTTGCTTGATTATTTTCACAAATGTTGGGCTGCAGTATTTTCATAATTCATCACATAACATAAGATCTTTGCAAATGCATAGATTGGAGATCAGAAAAAGATAAAGACAAAGAGAAAGGAACTAGAGCTTACAATGGGGAGGTGAACAAAAAGAAAGAGATGACATTACCTATGAGAAAAAAGGAACAAGAAAAAACAGTATAGGTAAGATAAATGTGAGTAGAAATAATCGTATATTTCTCACCAGTGTAGTAGTGTCACCAAAATAGTAATGGCAAAGAGCAAGATTGAATATAGAGGAAAATAAACGGAAGCGCTAAACAAATAACTGACCGATAATGCCTACAATGATTCTGATCGTTTCTACATTCACCATTTTTACGTTTAGCGGAGAATCAAAATGTGGCGAATGTTTCCTTGATCGTTACACAAAACGAAAGAGGATTTTTTATATGTTGTAAGAACAGAGATGATATGAAGAGTACTTGGGGTTTTGATGAGGTTTACATTGAAAACTTAGAATTATTTAAAGGGCCATTCTGAATTAGAAATTTATTTTTAGCCAATCCATAACAAAATGTGACACATATGGGAGTAAGTGACCTGCCTCAAAGTGTTGTATTGTTAGATCAGGTGGCTGGGCTGGGGAAGTAATCTTATTATCTGTTATGTGGTTGTCAAATGCCTAAACTCGCAAAAGATTGTTCACAGAGATGTAAAAGATAGAGAACACATGGTGCAGGACAAGACAGCGATTTTGGGTGAAGCTCCATGATCTTTTTTGTTAAAAAAAAATATGATTATTTTGTTTTGAAAAGGCTTGCTATTTTTACCCACGGAATTTTGTTTCCAAAATGTTAATATAATTTGTATACTTTTGCTTATATTTTCTGTTCCCCCAAACTTTAATTCTAGATCTTTACTCCATCGTGTGCTTTACAAATCAAGTTTGATTCTTCTTTTCGTACATTAAAATAGTTTAGAATATCACTTTGTCAAAAAGTAAAAACCTACTGATAACTAAGCGACGTAGAAATAACGAAGTATTACCTGCTTTAATCGCTTGTTTTCTTGCATCATTTGGGATCCCTGCGAATACAAGAGTATGGTGGAGGAGGAGAAATAAATTATTAGGAAAGTTTACTCTTAGTGCCAACAAATGTTGCACCACACCTGAGGTCCACATTTGTTTCCAATTTGTATGTGTTTTTTTTGTAAGAATTATTTTTTAATAGAGACGTATGAGATAGACGACGGTTTGAATTATCGAATTACAATATAATGTAGAGTACATCCAACAAAACGTCCATTTGAGGAATCCCGCAATTAAAACTTTATCTATATCATATATAAAGACATCCCTATATGTCAATTTATTTTGTTAAAATTTTAATTACGCCTCTATTGTTGAAACAATTTTAATAAATACATTATCAAAATTATACATTGTCTCCACTAGTATTTTTCAATTACACCTCTAAATCTCTCCCAAATCAGTATATCCAAATGAAATCCTAGTTATTTTCTCACCTTTTATCACTTATGTAATTGCTCTATGCCATGTATTTATAGATCTCAGCAACTTGTCTCAGTATCATTGAAATAGTTTGTACTTTTTTTATTATCATCATCTCATTATTTACAGCAAATGTATTGGCAAATCAGTGTTAATCATGCATGGAGATAGCCATAAATTCAAACTTTGGCGCAAAATTCCTTGAAAGTTAAAAAAAAGGTCTCATATCCAACCTTCCACTTAAGAGAGGTGATCTCCTTCAGAACAATTTCACCCTGAAACACAAAATGTTTATATGGAAGGGTATGTTGAAGAATTTCTAAAAGCCACAAAAATTAATAAATCAACCAAACTGAGAGAAACAAACCTTCGCATCTCTAACACGCCTCAATCCTGATCCGAGAAGTTTCTCTAGTTCCTGCAACTCTTTCATGTTTAGTTCTTGGAGTTCGTCTCCCATTAGCTTCCTGTTGTAGGAGGCACCCCTTATTGTTGCCAGAGTGATGTACATTTAAATCCCAACTTATAAACAGTAATTATGGATGTAGTTATATACCTTAGCTCATGTGTATTCTCCGCAATTTCCTTGCTCAATGCGGCGGAAGTACTGCTCTCAAGCTGAGACATACAAAATGATTGCAGTTTAATGAAATTTTTTTTTTCCAGAAAAATAATTTCATATGCAAGATGTAGAAGCAGTTTGGAAAGTAAAAATACTATGTTTCCCCCTTGTTTATAGATCACCAAACTCAAAGATTATGGGTGGATTTGGAAAATATGCACAGTGGAAGTATAAAATGTGTTTAATGTGTAGAAACATACCAACAAATTAAAGAAACAGAAGTAAAAGGCTACATAGAGCTCCTATACCCAAGAAAACTCCTTTCTATATAAAAACTTCGACACAAATCTATATTTTTTGAATTCATACACTTCTTCACTCTATTCACTTCTCACTCTCACAAATAACAAAAGCAAGCCTTATTTAAAGGTATTCCTTAACCCAACCACTTAAACCCACTAACTTAGGGCTCGTTTGAGAATGCTTCTAAAGTAAATACTTATGCTCATAAAGATGTTGAAACTTTCAAAAGAAATCCAAGTGCTTCCTAGGAAGTGCTCATTGAAGAAGCACATAGGAAGCACTTCTAAACTTTTATGTCAAACACTGTCATAAGTGGTTTTAGTTGTCAAAAAGCACTTTTAGCTCTTCCAAAAGCACTTCGAAACAGAACTTTAGTTTAATACTAACTCATAAAAGAAACTCTTCATTGATCCCGCTAACTCATGCAATTATTAAATAAACTAGATTAGTAACAGTTAAACTCTCCAAATGATAACTCTTCATATACTACGCATTAATCTTTGAAATTACTGCCAAAAAAGATGAATTTTCATTCGTTGTTATCATCGGTAATTATTTCCATTTGGTTAGGCTAGAAGTACTATATTTTATTGAAGTTCTTTAGAAATTTTTATGTGACTAATCATTCTTTGTTTTATTTTTTGTTAGGGGAGAGAATTGATAAGTCTATATTTTATATATATTTTATGCCTCCTTTACTTATTTATTTGTTAATGTCCTTGGATTAAATTGGTTGTTTTAATTGGTTTTGTGAGATTTGTGAAGGAATTGTGAATAATAGGAGAAAGTGTGCTAAAAATGGCAAGAAGATGAAGATTGGAGATTAATTAAAAAGAAGCCAAGTCATTCCTTTTGTTGCAAGGAATCTTGTCAAATTTCCTTGTTCAAGATGGCTCAAGTCTTATCAAGTCAAACAAGGAGAAATAAAGAAGACCCTATTTTAGAAGGAGTCCTACTTTTTATAATTGTAATTATACCTTAGATAGATAGGATTTCTAGGAGTATTATAAATAAGGAGTTTCGGTCATTGATCAAGGGCATCCATCATTCTCCATCCTCCATGATCTACCATCAAATTCCTACATATTCATAATCATAGCCGAAAAACTCAAAGGAGAATACGAAGAGAGCTTGTGCAACCTTGGCATTCTACTTGGAGAATTCGGTGCCTTCCATGTTTTCATCAACCATCAAGATTCTCGATAAGTCATTCATGAACTAATTTCTTTTGCTAGGGCTACGATGTAGCCTAGCTATGAATACTCAAATTCTTTGATATTCTTAATTTTATTTATCTATACATGTTGAGTGTTTGTTACCGTTCTTAATGTTTTCAATTAATTGGCCACTAATTGCTTGATTGGAAGAATTAGGTTGAGACCGGAAGGAGATTCCTAGTAAATAGCTTCTTGTAACAAGTACCATAAATTATATAGCCAACTCGGAAGATTAGGTTATGGTTTGTGTAATCTTCAATATGTTTTCCACAAATCTTAATGGGTTCTAAGCTATCTAAATCCATAACTAGGAATAGAGTGGGTTGATGGTAAGGAATACAACTAATATAACTCAGAAGAGAGTATTGGTGAGGTAAGGAAAAACGATTATCAACATGTTAGGTAATTAGGATTAACAAGCTAGAAGGATTTGGGTGGAATTAGCTAGGTGAATTCGGTGCCCTAGTGCTTTATCATCTTTGTTTTCATCTTTTACATTATTTACTTAATCTCAATTTATTTTACTTGCTTAATTAGATTTTAATCATCATAATTCTCTTATCGTTTAATTCAAATATAATTAGAAATAAATCACTCTAGTATTTAATAGATTACTTGATCCCTGTTGGAACGATACTCTACTTACTACTATATTAATTTGAGCGATATTGTCCACTTGCAATTAATCACATCAAATATTGCTGAGACCGTGCAAATAGTCAGAACGATACTCTATTTACTACCATACTAATTTGAGCGATATTGTCCACTTACAATTAATCACATCAAATTTTGGCGCCTCTGTCGAGGATCGACTTAGTCTGTTATATAGTGCGCTTTATTTTCTAGTTATACCTTGAATATTTTCTAGTTATCCCCGGCAACGGCGCCAAAATTTGATGTGATTAATTGAAAGTGGACAATATCGCTCAAATTAGTATGGTAGTAAATAGAGTATCGTTCCAACAGGGATCAAGTTAATCTATTAAATACTAGAGTGATTTATTTCTAATTATATTTGAATTAAATGATAAGAGAATTATGATGATTAAAATCTAATTAAGCAAGTAAAATAAATTGAGATTAAGTAAATAATGTAAAAGACGAAAACAAAGATGATAAAGCACTAGGGCACCGATTTCACCTAGCTAATCCCACCCAAATCCTTCTAGCTTGTTAATCCTAATTAACGACAACATGCAAAGCGTGTTGTAGAAAGCCCTGAACCTTTTAACGACATCAGCTTCAACAGCATGCGTCGCGTGTTGTTAATATCATTCAACAATGCACAATGTGCGTTGTTAAATGACTTTTTTCTTGTAGGCTAGCGTATTCACTTGGCCCTGGACACGGATAGGTTCAATTTGGTAGAGAGCTCAACCCGTTAATCCTTAAAAGTATATGAAGTTAGTAGGAATGTCTAAAATATCAATGGTATCGGAAATATCAGTAGTCCAAAAAAACGGAAATTTTGATGGAAATATCGGGATATTATCGATATCGATAAAAATTAGATAAAAACCACGAAAATTGTAAGAAAAACATGGAAATTTTTATTAAAACTTCGGATGATGTTTATTTAGTCAATTATCTATTAGTTTATCACAAAAAATTGGAAGGAAATACCTTGCATGATGGATTTAACTGATTTAAGTTGATTATATAGCGAGCTGACAAACACTGTGAGTGTAGAAAATATGTAGTAATTAAAGAGAGAAGATTAAACACACCATAATCATTTATATATAATGATTTACTACAATATTTTACACTTTATACATTGCATGGTAAGATACACAAGTGACTTAGTACCACATATAGAATTCCCCTTTGTGTATTATCACAAAAACATAAGCAACATGGTGGTTAAGGCGTTGGAGGAGTGAAATGGCAAGGGTTTGAATCCCCTTTGCGTGTGTCCTTTGTGTTTTTTTTTCCTTTTTTCCATTACATCGATATTTTCCGATATTATCGATATTTATTTGATATGTGTATGGATACGTTCCAAAATATCCGTGACTCGAAAAAACGATAATATCCTCGATATTTCGTCAATATTATCGATATTTTAGACTATGGTTAGTAGGCAATAGACATGGAAGCTCAATAGAGCTGACTTCGGGTGATTTCAACAGTGAGGTTCAAAGATGTGTTCCTTGGAGTGCAAGGCTGATGGTATCTTAGGATGACTCCAAATTCCACATTATTGATGCTTTGTCCAAATGGATGTTGCCAAATCTCAGGATATTTTCAGTTGCAGCCCCCCTTCTAGAAAGACTTGACGAAGACCTTGAGTGTTCGATTGTTTTTATTGATTTGAGTGAATCACATAAACACATGTTGATCTAATTTTAGACATTAACCACTCTCTTATTGCATGACGAAGATAATTATTGGCACTTCCAAACTTGTTTGACCTGATGTAAACATGGAAATTTTGCTAAAGTGATAAGATATGAAATTTATGCTAATACTTATCATATTAGGACTATGAATGAAATCAAGAAAAACACATTTCTCTACACATGGCCTTTCTTTTGACTTCTTTAACCGGAAAATACCAACTCATTTGGAGCCATAAATGATCATTTTGACATTTTTGAAATCCCAACTCGTTCGGTAAAAGGTTCAAAAATCACTTTTGTGGAATAATTGATCCAAATGAACTGGAGACAAATGAAAAGCACAATGAATCGGAAAAAAAAGAAAATCTTTCTTATGACCACGGTTGAAAATTATAATTCCCCCAAAATTTGGGAATTCACTAGGCTTTAGTCTGTATAGCTCAAGTAGTATTGATGTGGGTTGTAAACAAGAAAAATGAATAAATCTCAAGAATTGGTTGGACATAAGAAAGTTCAAGAATTGAAGCAACAAGAGCCTCTTTCACGTTTCTAAACATTTGAGAGTTGAACCTCAGATTTCGGCTTTTCATCCTCCTCATCCCAGTTGGTGGTCTTGTAGTAGGTGGCATATAGGATGAGCTGCACCAACCCAGAAATTGATCCCAAACCATTGGGAACCTGCCAAAATTTTTCAAAGAAAAATGATTATTCACTCTTCTTTTTTAAAATAAAAATAATTAAATAAACGTGTACGTACTTGAAACAACAAAAATGTATAGAGAATTACCAAAATGTAGGGATCAAATTTGATGAGTGCATAGATGAGCCAGACAATTCCATTGCATAAGTTAGCAAGAGAGAGGGTAAACGGCATATATTTCACACTTTTTGTCTTGATGACCATTTTCTGCCACCCAAAAAGTAAGATATATAAAGCCGTGGTGAATGATTTTCTACCCTTATTAGATGATGATTCATCCAAAAGTTAAAAATGTGTGTCAAATTATGTGGTTTTTTGTGTGTCTCTCGATTCCGACCAAAAAATATTTAAGACATGCAATATCTAATAATATATGGAAATGACTTATTTCTACATACCACGATTGTCAAGGGTGAGGCATACATAATGATGTTGCAGACAATGCACAAGATGCCAATTATCATAGACCGGCCTTTAGTGGTATGGAAAAAGTGCAGGGTGATGAAAACCACAACAGCAAAGAAGATAACTTCAACCAGAAGAGCAATAAGGATCCTTCGCTGCAAAGGAAATAAGGATATATTGTAGTTTTAATAAGGTATTAGCATTCCATAGCTCATGATATTTCACTTCTTAGTAGTATTACTTACGCGTTTTGCGTTAGAAGAGTATGTTAAGAAGATATTTGTAAATGCATAGATTAGAGATCAGATAAAGATAAAGACAAAGAGAAAGGAGCTAGAGCTTACAATGGGGAGGTAAACAAAAAGAAAGAGATGACATTACCTATGATAAAAAAAGGAACAAGAAAAAACAGTATAGGTAAGATAAATGTGAGTAGAAATAATCGTATATTTTTCACCGGTGTAGTAGTGTCACTGAAATAGTAATGGCAGAGAGCTAGATTGAAAATAGAGGAAAATAAACGGAAGTGCTAAACAAATAACTGACCGATAATGCCTACAATGATTCTGATCGTTTCTACATTCACCATTTTTACGTTTAGCGGAGAATCAAAATGTGGCGAATGTTTCCTTGATCGTTACACAAAACAAAAGAGGATTTTTTTTATGTCGTAAGAACAGAGATGATATGAAGAGTACTTGGGGTTTTGATGAGGTTTAGATTGAAAACTTAGAATTATTTAAAGGGCCATTCTGAATTAGAAAATTATTTTTAGCCAATCCACAACAAAATGTGACACATATGGGTGTAAGTGACCTGCCTCAAAGTGTTGTATTGTTAGATCAGGTGGCTGCGCTGGGGAAGTAATATTATTATCTGTTTTGTGGTTGTAAAATGCCTAAACTCGCAAAAGATTGTTAACAAAGAGATGTAAAAGATAGAGAACACATGGTCATGGGGCAGGACAAGACAGCGAATTTGGGTGAAGCTCCAGATCTTTTTTGTTATAACAAATATGATCGTTTTGTTTTGAAAAGGCTTGCTAATTTTTCCCTCGGCATTTTGTTTCCAATGTTAATATAATTTGTATATTTTGTTGAAGTGAGTCTCTTAATTAATCAAGGAGATTTATTTCCTTGATTAATTAAGGGATGTACTTTCCTTTTTTTATATAGTTGTCAAATCATTGTATAATTATGAGATACTTTCCTAATCCTTTACTATATCTAATTCCTTGTAAAGCACTCATGTAAACTCTTATATATACCTCCTTATGGAGAAGAATAAAAGAACAACCTAACATATTCAAAACCATATTCATATTTTAGCATGGTATCAGAGCAATCGATCCTCGGTTGTCTCTAAATTCTCATATCAAAATTTCTCCTCCCCTCCTCTTCAAGGGGGGAGGGGGAGTGAAAAAGGATCTGTTTCTCTTTCTCCTGGAGATTTTGCCTCTTTCTTGACTCCGACATATCCTTCTCTTCAGGGGGAGAAGAGGATTGAAGAGAAGTTTCTATGTTCTTAAGCCATGTTCACAGGGTTTCTGTGTCCTTAACCGTGTTCACAGGGTTTCTGTGTCCTTAGTCGTGTTTACAGGGTTTCTGTGTTCTTTAAACTCCTCATATCAAATTTCTCATATTTCTCCCAAATCTAAATCCCTCAAATATAAATTCATCAAATGCCTTATCTCAAATTTCTCATATTCAAATCCAAAACCCTAAATCAAATTCCTCATATTTTTCCCGAAATCAAAATCCCTCAAATCTAAAGTCCTCAAATGCCTTATCTCAAATTTCTCATATTCAAATCCAAATTCCTCAAATCTTATACACATACCTCTCAAATCCAATTCCTACATCAAATTCATACATTAAATTCCTCAAATCAAATTCCTCCAATCAATATCCCTCACATTCTCATATCACATCTTACTTCCGCTGCGATGTCAGGAATCCCTTATTGCAGACTCACAGAAGCATGCGGTTAATCCTGCTGACCCGGCTACCTGGACTTGTGCTTCTATCAACACCACCAAAGGTTCTACTTTTCATACGTCCTCTCAAAAATCCGCATGGATTATCGACTCGGGTGCTACGAATCACATGACATTTGATCCTGACTAACTTATTAATCACAAATCATCCACTCCGTCAGTGGTGTCTAATGTTAATGGTACCCCTCCCCTGTGGATCAGAAGACTCTTGACAGAATTGGGCTTCGAGCCAGAAAAGCCAATGGAGTTGCATTGTGACAACAAGTCAGCCATTGATATTGCCCATAATCCAGTTCAACATGGTCGAACCAAACATGTTGAGGTGGATAGACATTTTATCAAAGAGAAGAAGATCATCCGCCTACCATTCGTAAAATCAGAAGATCAACTGGCAGATACCTTAACCAAAGCTGTTTGTGGCAGAGTATTTCATGACTCACTTGCCAAGTTGGGCATTTGTGACGTATATGCACCAACTTGAGGAGGAGTGTTGAAGTGAGTCTCCTAATTAATCAAGGAGATTTATTTCCTTGATTAATTAAGGGATTTACTTTCCTTTTTTTTTATTTTATATAGTTGTCAAATCATTGTATAATTAGGAGTACTTTCATAATCCTTTACTATATCTAATTCCTTGTAAAGCACTCATGTAAACTCTTATATATACCTCCTTATGGAGAAGAATAAAATAACAACATAACATATTCAAGACCATATTCATATTTTAGCATATTTTTGCTTATATTTTCTGGCCCCCCAAACTTCAAATCTTTGCTCCGTTGCGCTTTACAAATCGAGTTTGATTCTCCTTTTTGTACATTAAAGTAGTTTAGAATATCACTTTGTCAAAAAGTAAAAACCTGCTGATAACTAGGCAACGTAGAAATAACTAAGTATCAAAATTGAGGATCAATTTTTTTTTTCTTCAGAAAAAGGATGATAACTAAGCCTTCCGGCCATGGTTATTCTGAAGGCTTTGATTGAGCGAAAAAATGGAGGAAATGAATTCCTTTAATTCAAGAGTACGCGTTAAGTATAACTCCTGCTTTCAATGAAATCACCAAATATTAGTGCAAAAATTCTCACGGGAGAATATTCAATTGTGGATTCTTCAACCTTTGATCTTCCTTCTCCTTCTTACTCGGTTCCTGTAAAAAAGATCAGAGTAAATAAACCACACCCGGGAGGTGTTAGCCAGTTAGGTCGATTGAATCTAGGAGAAACAATAGCTAAAAAAGGATATGGAGATTTTTCTATGGTAAGAACCGGGCGGGCGAAGCCGTGTGTAAAAATATGTGGAGAGGAGAGAGATGTGGCCGGCAGCGGTGCTGGCGCCGTCGGCTAGGAAGGAGAGAGAGGGAGAGTTTCAGGTGTTTTCTCGGATTTTAAAAGTACCTTGAATGCTTGGTGTAGCCGTGTATTTATAGGCTCCTTGCGTGCTAGGAGTTTATTCTTTCCCCAAATTGTAAAGATTAAGTCCATTAGTGATTTGATTGGGATCAAATCTCCTAATTTGATGATGATATCTCCAAATTAGGATAATATCTTAATTGGTGATATTATCTTTTTAAATAAAGATAATATCCATATTTTTGGTGTCAATTATCTTGCCAAATAAATGACTTAATTAATTGACCTATGAGATATTCTTCTTGTCCACGTGGCATCTTGTGATTGGAGGCCAAAATATTTGCTCCCACAGTGATGTGTGTGGGTTCCTAAAGCATTACAATTTTAAAAATTCCAAAAGTAATCCATTTCTGCAGACTTGTATATCAATATAATTTTTTTTGCCACTCAATTTCAGTTGAGATTGTTCCATCTAGAGAGGCCAGGTTGAAGGAAATTGCACAAGAGTACAAGCTGAACTGGGATTCTTCTAACACTGAAGCGGGCAGTAGCATATTGAATTTGGGATTCTTCTAACAATCAGGCACTTTACATCCAAATCATTGGCTCATCAACTTTAGCCCACCTTATCAGGTTTCTAGATCATGCTTGACAAGGGTTTTGAAATGTAATTATAGGCGTAGTACAATTTATCTCTACTTCCATTTGGATAAGTGTAACTTTGACAATGAATCTATCGATCCTTGTAATACATGTGGAGTTATTTTTTGAATGAAAATTCTTTATTATGTGTTATCTATTAATTGGAAAGAAGGAAATAGTTTTACTTATCATGAAGCTTCAATTTACAGATGAACTATATTGTTATAAGGTGAATTGGAAAATAATAGTAAAACATTGATATTTAGTATGACAACATTTAAAAATATAACAACAACGTGCATACGAATGTTGTCAATGCTGTGTTTCAACAACGTGCATAACACATTATTGTACACTTCTTTCACAACATGTGTGCGTTGCATTTAATGGTGTTAACAACGAGAACTGATATCAACGACCATAGACAAAGCGTGTTGTTGAAAGCCCTGGACCTTTTAACGACATCGGCTTCAACAGCGTGCGTCTCGTGTTGTTAATATCATTCAACAATGCACAATGCGCGTTGTTAAATGACTTTTTCTTGTAGTAAGCATACAAGTTCACTTGGCCCTGGACACGGATAGGTTCGATTTGGTAGAGAGCTCAACCTGTTAGTCCTTAAAAGTATATGAAGTTAGTAGCAAGGTCTAAAATATCAATGGTATTGGAAATATCGGTAGTCCAAAAACACGGAAATTTTGATGGAAATATCAGGATATTATTGATATCATATCAATAAAAATTAAATAAAAATTACGAAAATTGTAAGAAAAACTTGAAAATTTTTATTAAAACTTTGGAGGATGTTTATTTAGTCAATTATCTATTCGTTTATCACAAAAAATTAGAAGGAAATACCTTGCATGATGGGTTTAACTGATTTAAGTTGATTATATAGTGAGCTGACAAACACTGTGAGTGTAGAAAATAGTAATTAATGAAAAAAGATTAAACACACCATAATCATTTATATATAATGATTTACTATAGTATTTTACACTTTATACATTGCATGGTAAGATACATGAGTGACTCAATACCACATAGAATTCCTCTCTACGTATTATCACAAAAACATAAGCAACATGGTGGTTAAGGCGTTGGAGGAGTGGAATGGCAGGGGTTCGAATCCCCTTTGTGTGTGTGCTTTGTGTGTTTTTTTCTTTCCTTTTTTCCATTACATCAATATTTTCGATATTATAGCGATATTTTGACAAAATATTGCTGAAGTGTGTGCAAACTTATTGACATCGATATTTTCCGATATTATCGATATTTATTCGA